GTTGGTAGACCTCCTGGGTTTTGGTGAACCTGGCTCAAACCGCACCCAGCCAAGTTTGCTCTTGTCTGGTGGTCTATTGAGAGACATCAATATTTGCCATATGAGCATTATTCCCGATTCCTTCTTCCTTAGGGGATCACAGGCCGAAGACTATGTTCACCCTCTAAGACTCCTGGCATTACGAGTGACCATAATAGACATAGGAGACAGTTGAAAAAGCTTCCAGAATACAAAGTCTAAACCTATTGGAGACCTACACTGAAAGTTTGGTGCCCGGTGAGGAGTCATGGTGTGTGATGGACTCCGGGAAGAAGTTCAGGTAAAAGGTTTCCTGAGCTGATGTTGAGACAGATGGGTTAAGGCTGGTTGAGGCCTGTACAGATTGGGGGTTACTCTCAGACATTTCACTCAAAGAGCACATTTGTTACGTACCTTCTGGGAGACCGGATGTGAGAGGAGGCTTCCCTTGCACCTTGTGTCCTGGGAGACTATGAGGATGGGAACAGAGCCCAGCGGGACAACAAGTGGCAGGAGTGCCAGTGGTGTTGAGCACCGTGCAAGCCGTAATCCAATGAGATGAGCCCGAGGTCAGGTTCCAAGCGGGCAATTCCAGTACAAAAGGGGTCAGGCAGAAGAATGGTCAAATAACAGTTCCGTGGTCAAGGCAGGCAGAATTCAAGGTTTGTCGAGGAAGTCCGGGTCACAATGATCAAGCAAGATATCACAAAAACTGGAACAAGGATTAGCTGACGATAAACCAGCAACATGGTGGTACTGCTGCTGGGTTTATATAGGGCCAGTGATGTCATTTCCTGTGCGCCACTATGGCGGATTTTCGTGCTGATAGACTACTGCTTCTGCGCATGCGCGGGATGGCGCGTTCCCGAGCAGTGCGGGAACGTGCAGGTTGCACATGCGCAGATGGCGGGGATCCATTACAACATTAGCTGCTACGGGAGACAATTGTGCTTCTTCTTAATTGTTACCGTTTTGGTCTCCTGAGATGTGAGTGGGAAACACGTCCGAAGTAGATGTGAGTAATGGTTTTCCTGACGTTTTGAGTGGTTGTTTAGGCATAACACTGGGAAGTGTCCTCACAGCTGAAGAGCGCTTACATATGGCCTAGTATCCTCAAAACTGGAACATGGCCAGGCACTTTAGCCCTCTGTCATGCTTATAGCTACCTGTATTCCCTTCATGGGAGAGGTAATACAAAGGGAGCAACCCTTCCAAAGCACTCAGACTCACCATTGGTAGTGACCATGCTCTTCTACACCCCTACATAGAGAACAGAATGGGCTTCCAGGTGGAGACAGGTGGTTGCCATGTGAAAGATGTCCTCAACGGTTAAATACAGTTCATGATAAATAAAATAAACCACTGAAAAGTGCCCTCCCCACTGTGTGTACAATGTAAAATCATATTCTGCTTCCCGGACTGCCCCAGTAAGACGTTTCTATGGTCTCGTATTCCATTCATCTCACTATACAAATAAAGGAAGCCATGAAATGAAACATTATGGGAATTTGCATGTCTATCCTTGTCATCTCTCTCTACTAATTCAGTGTAGCCATTAATTCCATCCATTGACTCCGCACAGCCTAAGAGCCGAACTTCTCCGACAACAGACACAGCAAGAATGTGGTCGGTAGCAGATATAATCCGACTTTTCTCCCTTTTCTTCAACTTGGTGTCAGGTCTGACTCTGAATTCCTACATAATCGCCGTGTATGTCCGGGAATGGAGGAAGAAGAAAGGATTAAACGTGTCTGACAAAATTGTCCTCTTGCTGGCTCTCACCGGGATCACCTTCCAATGTACTGTCACCATTGAACGTCTGACTTTCTTTCTTGGGTCTCTCTCTCCACATAGCAGAAGACGTAATATTTATATATTTGCTTTTCATATCTTTCTGATGTATGAGATCTTCTGGAACACGGCTTGGCTTTCCGCCTATTACTGCCTGAAACTGGTCAAGTGTTCCCACCACGTTTTCCTTCAGGTAAAGAAAAGATTGTCTTCTTCTATTACGCAGCTTCTCATTGTCTCCTTGGTGGGATTGTTCCTCCTAACTCTTCCACTTCCTTGGACCATAGATATTAATTATAGAAACATGACCAGCGATCCATCTGGAAATCGTCACGACATTCATGTGGATGTCCGATACGTTCCCCTCTATATGGTTCTAGGTTCTCTCCTCCCGTTTCTTCTGTGCTTCATCTGCATTGGGCTCAGTGTCATGTCTCTCCTGAGTCATGTCCAACAGATCCGTCAGAACTCATCTCAGTTCAGTTCATCTCCACAGCTAGAAGGTCACCTCCGGGCAGTCAGGACCATGATCCTTCAGGTTTGCCTTTGCTTGGCTCTGTATCTGGCTGCCTTGAGCATGCTCCTGTTCTCCCCATACTTAGGAATGATTGAAAAAGTCATTTTTTTAATAATCATTACAAGTTACTCTTCTGTTCAAGCCGTCATCTCTATCCAGGGGAACCCGAAATTAAGAAACAGACCACCAACCCATGATACAGCCATGTGCAGCAAATAGAATATCTGTCTATCTGTAGGAAGGTCATAGATACATTTTATGTCTTTTATTGATTCCCTTGACTCTTGCATGTAATCAAACCTTACCATTTCCCCTTTGGGTGGAACCCCTTCTGCACTCTTTATGCTCCTGTTAGATATCAGAATATCTCCAGCTTATATGTTATTGAGGGGAGGGAATGCGCAGGTCAGTTTTCTAAATTTCTATAAAAAGTCAGAAATACTTTTCATGAAACAAATTCAAAATGGTGACTTATACACAGACACCATGGTATCAGGCTGATCCAAAGATATGACTGACATATATACGATACATCGAAGGGCAACTCCAGCCAAACAGCTAAATATAGAAGTGAATGTGATTGTCCCCTCACCCCACTCTCCTATTTGGGTGCATAGTATATGGAAGGTGACCTCTTATCAGCTCCCCCTGACCATGTTCTCTTGAGGAACACAGGTCTCCTGTCCAGCAGGTTGGCCCATCACTAGTCAGGACAGTTTGCGGTGGTGATATAGCATCATATCTCCATCTATATACACTATATTACATCAGTGACATGAGAAGGAGGGAGCAGGACATGAGAGTACAATACAGGACTTCATTAGATATGGCGGGAGATATCTTGTCCCATATCCCCCCCCCGTCCCTCAGTATAGAGGACCTCCCTTGGATCCTGCTCATACACTGACCCAACCATCATAAGTCATGGGGTTCACTCTCTGCAAAGCTCCCAACCCCCGCCAATCTCTTCATCATCAGTGATCATGTATGTGGAATCGATGGATCATTGTGGCCTCAGAGGGAGGTTGTGGAGCTCCTATGAGAGCACATTGAGCGTATTCTGGGTTATATTTCATATACTACGTCTGTAAATTATCAGCCCGGTCATTGTGAATTTCTGGACAGACATTTGGACCACCCAAAGATAAATGAGAACTCTGAAGGACGGGTTGACTCTCTCCGCGGATCTTATTGTCTGGAGATCAGGAAATGGGTCTTCACGGATCCAGATTCTCCCCAAGTTCCTCTGTTACCAGGAAGACGGATTGAAGAACCAAAGATTCCCAAGACTCTGCTCGTCTCTACAACTCTCCTCCCGGTGTATTGTCGGTGTGCTCCTTCAGATTTGGGGAATGTTTTTGGTATTTAGCATGTTGGTGTTTTTGTCATAATTACCATAATTTCTGATTCGGGGGAGGGGAGCTGTGTGTGTCTTCTGGTCTCGGTGTGTATTGGTGGACGGGTGACTCTGAGAAATATTCATTGTGTGTAATTCCTCTTATAATAAATCTGAGTGTTATAGACGAGTACATTGGGCCGTCGTTGTCTCTTTATCTGCCGGAACTTCTATAATACAAACTCTGATATGTCATGATTTTCAATTTTTAAGCATAAAGCTGAACTCTGTAACAAAAAATAAAAACTGGCATCGCATTCCTTTGAAACCCCGGGTAATATCTTGCAGAAGCAGCAGTGACATCATCATTATGCTATATATAGCCTGTGTAAAGAGCAAAGCTGCGGGAGGTACTCAGCAGGGCCCACCCACTACAGCTTGTCTCCTAAAATTACAGGAGGGGGCGGAGACAAGACCAGTGACCCTGCAAAAGGAGAGAGAACAGCAGCGATTGGTCTTTATTACAGGAGGGGGCAGAGACAAAACCAGTCACCCTGCACAAGAAGAGAGAGCAGCAGTGACCGGTCTTTATTACAGAAGGGGAGGAGACAAGACCAGTCACCCTGCACAAGTAGAGAGCAGCAGTGACCGGTCTTTATTACAGAAGGGGGAGGAGACAAGACCAGTCACCCTGCACAAGGAGAGAGCGCAGCAGTGAACGGTCTTTATTACAGAAGGGGGAGGAGACAAGACCAGTCACCCTGCACAAGAAGAGAGCGCAGCAGTGACCGGTCTTTATTACAGGAAGGGGCAGAGACAAGACCTGCCACCCTGCACAAGGAGAGAGCGCAGCAGTGACCGGTCTTTATTACAGAAGGGGGAGGAGACAAGACCAGTCACCCTGCACAAGGAGAGAGCGCAGCAGTGAACGGTCTTTATTACAGAAGGGGGAGGAGACAAGACCAGTCACCCTGCACAAGGAGAGAGCGCAGCAGTGACCGGTCTTTATTACAGGAAGGGGCAGAGACAAGACCTGCCACCCTGCACAAGGAGAGAGCGCAGCAGTGACCGGTCTTTATTACAGAAGGGGGAGGAGACAAGACCAGTCACCCTGCACAAGAAGAGAGAGCAGCAGTGACCGATCTTTATTACAGTAAAGTCTTACACTGAATTACTGCACAGATCTGGAAGAAATACACAAAGCTCACCGGGATTCGGGAAGAATACACAGGACTCTTGTGTGAGGACAATATCTGCTGATCCCAGAGTTCTGCTATAAAACAAAACAAGCCCTGTTGTTCCCCACCTTCCCCTAAATCAATAACAAGCCACATTTATCAGCTCATTACATCCAGCTCATACCCAGATAACAAGCAATTGAGCTGCAAGTTTGAGAATGACTCGCTAAACTATTGCAGACTTGCCGAGCTTCACAATTTTGTTGCACAATTACAGCGAGTCTGCATTGCGAGTCTCCAGACCAGCGAGCTTGCAGAGCTCTTGCTAAGACCTGCAGGACTCTTGCTGTGGACCTGCCGAGCAAACTTGCTACAAATTCTAAAAGTGTATTGGCACTAACGCTTTCTTCTCGCATATTTACCTGTCACCTCACATATGGCCACGAATTCCCACAGACTCCCTCCAAAATCTTGTGGAAAACCTTCCCAGAAGAGTGTAGGCTGTTTTAGCCACAATGGTGTGAGGAGGCGAAATTCCATAATATTGACCATGGTTTTGAAATAAGATGCTCATTGCGCTCATATAGTTATAATGATCGGGTGCTAACAAACCTTTTGGCTCTTTAGCGTATGAAAAAACAACATCAGAAGTATTCGGCCTACAGGATTTTCTTCACTTAAGGATCAGTTCAGTTATTTATTGGACGGAGCAGAGAAGGGATTACATCCTCTGTCCTGTTTTTATCATCATCTGTGTCCCTACTGGGAAGATTTCACACCACTTCCTGTCCACTGTCTCTTGGGCTGGAATTAAGGGTAACACTCCCGAGGGTAGACATAAACCTCCCCCCACTCCTCTAGGATTTTGTATGGCGTTCCACTTTAAAGAAAGAGCAGAAGCAGAGACACCGGCACTCCAGATTGGCAAAATACATCTATTTATTGACGTGCCTCGTGGTAGCAAACAACAAACGTTTCGGGGCCACAAAGGATCCCCTTCATCAGGTAAAACATAGAAGGGGATCCTTTGCGACCCCGAAACGTTCGTTGTTTGCTACTATGATGCACGTCAATAAATAGACGTATTTTGCCAATCTGGAGTGCCGGTTTCTCTGCTTCTGCTCATGATTGTTACGGCTGCCACCCGTTGACTACCGCTGCACCCATTTTCTGAAGGGATTTACGTGGTCAGGAGTAAGGATGGGCCGAGTGTTCGATTCGAACATGAGTTAGAATCGAACATCGGCAGTTCGAGCGCTCGCCGAGCGCCGAACTTTATGGGATGTTCGCGGTCTGTTCGACCGCGTACATTCCATAATACAAAATGCCTCACCACAGGTCAGGTGCAAGACTTTGCCCAATCAGGGCTCAGCGGAGGAGGGGCCTGAAGGAGAAAGTTCTCTATCAGGTCCCCCATATGCTGATTGACAGCAGGCGGGTGCAATAGCCAGCTTGCTATTGGCTATTGCATTTTACAATATCCAATAGCAGGCTGGGTATGGCTCCCAGCCTGCAGACGAAGTGGAGGCAGGGGGGTGGGGCAGAGGACCCGCGGCCGGACTGAAGGAGAGAAGCCGACGGACGGCCGGGACAGCGAGTGGACGGACCAGGGGACCGGAGGCAGGGACAGCGAGTGGACGGACCAGGGGACCGGAGGCCGGGACAGTAGCGGGGGTAAGGGGGCCAGTACACTGTATTTATTACATGTACCGGCAACTGTATAGGGGTCGAACATTCGACCCCCATACACTTGCATTGAGTTTGAGTTCGTAATCGAACATTTCGGTCATTCGAATACGAACCGAACGTGTTCGGCTCATCCCTACAGAAAATACTTCAGTAGAAGAGGGACTGACACGGTGCAGTAGAACATCACCTCAATAGGGATGTGCATGAGATCTTCTCTGGGAGGAACATGAGACTTGTTCCTCGGGTCCATGTCATCTCCTGAGTCCTGATACCTCCAGCAGTCATAGAGCTCCTCTGGTTCTCCTCCCAGATAGTTCCAGACCCCAGCTGGGTCTACGTGTGGCCTCCTCCAGGGCTTAGGTCTAGCCAGCTTCTCCAACCTTGTACATGCCACCCCCTGGGCCAAATCCAGGGGTAGACTGAACCAGACCACATGGCAATCCCTGAGTATTCATGCACTCCCCCAGCATGCACAAATGGCTATGAAACTCCAAATGATTGGCTGGTGAGGCATAGACAATCCTGATGTTCCCTTATTGGCTGCCCCACTCTGTGGCAGGGTCACACCCCATTCACAGGCAGGTGCAATCAATAGCAGAACACCTAGAGTTAACCAGATGATGCCCCTATACAAATCAGCTAGACTGATTACAGTACTAGCAACACAACATTTTAGCAGCCACTCCACTTAAGATGGTAGGGGCTACACTGGCACCCTGCCAAAAATCTTTCCTGCTCCAAAGACCAAGATGTTGTATGGTGATAGCTTCAAACACACAGCACCAGAATCCTCAGCTTTCCCGAACATCTTAACAGTGTAAAATCAAATGAATGTGCCCATTCCTACCACCAGTTATATATATGCTCTTGCAAGGTCCTAGAATGCTGTTTTTGACACCTCCTCCACTCTATTTCTAAAAAGATTGATTTCATTTTGTTTAACTGCACACTTTTTACTAACACATTTATTAAATGCTGTGTGGGTTTTTTCTATTTCCTTATTACCCAGGCATAAT